TAAACATGGATGTCATTTCTTGGCTGGGTGCCTATTTTGTGAAGAATGAGATTTACGACAAGGCCATTCAGTTTTTTGAACGTGCCTCACAAATTCAACCCCTTGAAGTAAAGTGGCAGTTGATGGTGGCATCATGTCACAGACGCCGTGGGGATTATATACAAGCTAAACGTCTATATGAGGCTGTGTACCGCAAATACCCGGAAAATATGGAATGCCTGCGCTACTTGGTCCATTTGTGTAAAGATGCCGGTCTTATCGAAGAGGCGAATGAATGGTTTAAAAAGATCAAGAAACTGGAACAGCGCCAACAGGAGGAAACAGATGAAGGGGGTTGTCGGGATGAGGATGAGGAAGCCAAGGGCGGGACTCACGCAGCAGCTGGTCGACGCGCCGTTAGTGCTTTAACCAATAGAGTGGGTGATATGACGAGGGAGGATGAGTTGGACGAACCACGCATTTCCCTGTCTGAGGAAAAGCCAACTCACGAGGACGATGACGAAATTGATCTGCCAGGAATTTGAAGTAAAGAAGAAAAAGAGGAAGAGAGAAAAGGAGGAAAGGAAAAAAAAAAAAACTTTTTTTTGACTGTGTTTGTGCCAAAGAGAGGTGCTTATGCGGGCAGTCGGAGTTTAGACACTCCCATCCTTATCTTGGGAGAGAGCAAAGGAAAGGGCAAACACACACACAGACGCCAACCCTTCCATTCATTCACCACAGACAAGAGGACCAAATTTTGCATCTTTCTCTGTGAGCGGAAGGGTATGAAGAGAGTAGAGATGTGTGGGTGGCCAAAGAAATAAAAGGAGATGGGCGAGGGATTCTAAGAGAAAAAATTTATGATGAGGGAAGAGAAAGCAACTTGGAGTACATCATGGATGTGGTCGGCAAAACAGCGCCGTATTTGAGCTTCGCGACTGTCTCATGGCGGGAGGGACATGATTATTAAATAGAAGGAGCTTTTATGCCCAATAGAGGTGCTCTCAAAGGTACGCATACGTGGGAATACACACAGACTTCTCGGGCTATTAACTTTTTGTTTTTGTTACTGGGTTATCCAGCATTGTGTATCAGGCAACTCTCTCTTATGGGAACCTTTGTTTCCTCTGTCTTTTTGTGCATATATTCGTATGTATTTCTTTGCTGCCGGCCAGTGTTGGCTGTACTTTCCCTGTTGAATTTATTTCTTTTTGCATGACCATTGTACCATCTGTCTCCTCTTTTTAAAATATTACATTTTTTTTTTTATGTGTGTATGCTTTATTTTTTCCCTTAGTTACTAGTGGGGCGCCATTTTAGAGGCATGCCTGAAGGGAATGACACGGATTTGGACGCAGAGTGTGAGGTTATGTTTGGTTACCTCCGAAGGGCTTTGTTTTTTTTAAGGGTTCGGCGTAGACAGTGGATTTCGGGCAATGCGTACCGGCTGAGTGATACGACGTGGTTTTTGCCCATCCGTGGATATCGACGGCGGCCCGAGAAGTGCTTTGCGAGAAGGGGCTTTTATATCCCTCTTTCAGCGGAAGTAAAACCTGGAGGAAGAGATGTGCGGAAAGCCTTGCGGCAAAACACGGCATTTTATTAGCGCCACGAGAAAAAATTTTTTTTTTTGATAAGTTGTTAAAAGGAAAATCCTACAGCGAAGACCATCCAGGATTGTACAGATTTCATGCAACAGACGGAGAATGGTGCGATGAATTTTGCCAAAAAAAAAAAAAAGAAAAAACAGGACGGAGTCATCGAATTTGCAGTTAGAGGATGTGTTGGACGCCGCGCGGCGTGCCAAAGAACAAAAGACTTTCACTGCGTCGGAACGCACAGTTGTTTTTGCGACTTGTCAAGTGCGGTTTGACGGGACGCGTGCCTCGCTGCGGTTGTTTGGTGATGAAATTGCTCAGCTGACTTTCTGCGCAGTTGCCGCAATCGAAGGGATGCATCCCTGCCTTGGGGGGATTTGCTAGAATTTTCAACGGATGATGCGCGATATTTTTTGTAGCGACAGGTGCGGGATGGATTCGGTCTTCCGCATGACTGTTGCCGTGCGGGCTTTTGTCTTTTTTAACGCTCAGAGGAGCGCCGCACCGATCTCCTTGAGAGGGCGATTTGAAGGTTTAACCGGGAAAGTTGTTTTGTTTATTCTGCTGATTGGAGGCTTCTCCCCAATAATTTGCCTCTACTGCCATCCACCTTGGCGACGAGGGATACGGGCCGTAGCCACGCCAGCCTTTTTTTTTTTTGTACGGGGTGTTTAGCGCTTTGTTAACTGGGGGAGGAATTGTTGTTTGGGAGACTTTGTCGACCGCGCTTCTTTGGAATATGAAGGCAACATGGGCCTTGTCCTTTTGGGAGTCCGAGCCGTGAATGTGGGAAGGGGCAGCAAAGACAATTTTGGGCCCAAATTATTTTATTTTTTTTCTTCTGTTTGTCGTTCTAGACCTTTATTGCGTGCCGTCAAACAACGAACATATCTTCTTTTTGCTTTGTTTTTTAATGTATGTTTCAATTTTTGTGTTGGAGTTTTTCTTAGCGGTAGTCTTTCTGTTCACAAGGGTGTCATGCAGCCGCAACAACAACAACAGCAACCGCTGGGATTTCAGCTGGTTCGAGAGCCATACCGAGCCACGGAGGATCAATTCCGGGCCTTTGTCCGCGGCATGGACGCTGTTCTGAATCAGTGGACTGCTTTACATCTTGTTGCCCATCACTGTGACCCTTCTGCCCTTCAATCGATGTATCAGGAGCTTATTTCCTGGTTTCAATCAGAGGGCGAGGTGTACTCTGATGACCTGGAAATATTTTTTGAGAATTTCTTTACCGAAGTGCGGTCTGTTTTGATCGAGGACGATAGCATGAAGGAGGTGGGAGATGTGCTGCATGAAATGTACTGCCGTTGCTGCCAAAATGACTTTATTCTGGTGGAACAGTACTTGACTAGCTTGGAAGTGTACCGTCGGGTGAATCCGGTGCGTCTTTCTGTGGATGCGGGTAGTTACGACGACGGCGACAGCGAGAAGGGAACCGAAGCGACCGCCGACGGTGCATTGGGGGCGGGGGCCCAAGGGATACAGCCGACCTTTAACGAAGAAGGAGAAGGGGGTGCGCCGGTGGCAAATGCCTCGCAGAATCCACGGAAAAAGAGGGGTAAAAAGAACGCCTATGAACGTGACAATGATGGCTGGTGCGTGGTGCAGCGATAGACGTTTCCATAAACAATAAAAAATAAACGACGGTATCTACATGAAAAAATCAAAAATGAAAATAAAAATAGGGGACATGACAGCATCGATTAAGTGATTTTTTTTTCTTTTAAATATGATATCTTTGTCTCGTTCTTATCATCTCCCTTTATAAGCCTTTTGAAACGTAGTTTATATGCTGTTTCATGGATTCATTCCCCATTCACTCCACTCTATGTTTTTTGTTTTTTTGCGTTTTTTTTTTTCTTTCTCTCTTCTTTTATGTGCATCGCTCTCGTGTATGGCGCAAAAAAAAAAAAAAAAAGACGAGAAGGCAATATATACCTACTCATATACATATTATTTATTTTTATTTGTTTATATTTACGGCTGGGGTGAGGTTCGATCAGCCGCACTGAACCCACTAGGCAAGGAGCAGGAAACGCGGTTGCTGTTATAGCATTAGGTGTCTACTTTTTTTCATTTTTTTTTTTTTTTTTCCTTTTTCATTTTACATATAAATACACATTTCTCTCTCTACCTATATATATATATATATCTTACTGCTGCGTGAGGAACGGGGGTAGTAGAAAGAACAGTGACAGAATTTTGGCAGCAGAGAGGGAAACCTTCAGAAAGGGGGGGAAAGGAACAGAGAAAAGGGGGGAAGAATAGTACCAGCGAATCCAACAAACCAACGAGAAGTGAATAGTAATAATCATCAAGGAACTTTGGGGACGGGGAAATATAATAAATAAATAAATAACGATTGATGCTACGTTTTGCATTTGGGAGAGGTTCTCTTGCGCACGCCGCTTGGTCTCGTTGTGCCGCGAGTGTTGCAGGCGTTCAGAGCTTACCAAAGTTTGAAATCCATGACGTCCGTGATGATCCCGCACTGGGAACCATGACGCGTGTGGCGGTAGACGGCAAGTTGCTGTTGATTTCCCAGTACCCGCAACTTGGACCTCGAAAAGTGGACCCGAACGATTTGAGCCCGCAGTTTGACTCGGATCGCCGCATTTCCGTGCGGATGCGTCATGTTGATCTTGCTGGGTTGGTGTGTGTTTGCCAGAGCCGTATTTCAAAGTACGAAATGACGAACAGGGGTTACACTTTGGTCTTTGAAAGGGTGCCAGAAGGTTACCGGCTGCACGGTCAGATTCATCGTGTGGCGTCTCAGAAGATGGAGGATTGGTCGGTAAACTTTGACAAGCACTTTGCCGTGACACTGGAGCACTTCTTGGAAAGTGCACTCACGGAGAGCTTTGGATTTCGTCAGCACTACGCTGCGCGCGCCGCCGACGGTGGAGCACAGGAGGCCAACACCGTTGTGGGGAGCGCTTCCGGCAGACCACAAAGGAGGGGGAACACGGACTCGGCGCAGCGTCGGTGAGCGGGAGGGGAGTACCGAGGATGACGGTGAAGAGAAATTAACGCCCGGGAGAGACGGAGGAGGGAGGAGGGAGAGGACGGAATGGAAGGGAAGGGAAGGGACAAAGGAAACAAAACAAAACTAAAAGCGGAAGTAGTGGGGGATGATCTCCCATTTTTTACTTTTTTTTTTTTTTGTTCTTCCGTCTGTCATTTTGTCTTTTGTTTTGGGGGCTCAGTCCTGTTTGCTGCAGCCGTCCCTTTTTTTTTGTTCTTTCAGGTGTGCTGCCGATCCTTGACCGGTGTGTCTTTATTTTTTTGTGTTTCTCTCTCTCCCTCTTTTTTTCCTTCTTTTTTCCTCTCCGTGCATGTGCGATTCTTTTTCTTTGGGAGGTCATTATTATTATTATTGTTGTGGTTTCCTCTCTTTGTGGAATTTTTTTCCTTTTTTTTCCTTTTTTTTTTTTTTTTTATTATTTTGCCCTGTTATGCCTTTTCCCCCCTTGTGCATTTGGACGTATGCCGAAGTACCTTTTGTGTATTTGGCAACAAATAAATTAAATAACGTAAGTTGAATTAACGGTGGCTCCGTTATATCGTGTGAGTGTCTTTGGCCCAAACATTTAGATACTAGTCAGATAAAAATAACTACACACATAAAATTAATTTATTATTATTAATTTTATTTTTATTTTTATTTTTTTGTGTGTGTGCCTGTTGAGTAACCGTGAAATTAAAAAAGCTTCATGTGGCGCAAGTGCATTTCTCGTCGCGCTGGCGTGGCCGCACCCGCCGTAAGCGTCCGCAGCATTCTTCTTCGGGATCTCCGAACCAGTGTGGAGATCAGCAAAGGGGAAATGAAATACCCAGCGGTGCTGCTCTGGCGATGGAAAAGTAACCGCCAAAAACATCTTGTGCTCAGCGTGCAAGCTCCCGATGGGACCGAGGGCGAGTCGTCGGCAGAGCCCAACTCAAAGCTACTCCCTGTGTCAGCGCCTACCCCTGCAGATTATTTTTTTGGCCGTGTATTTCTTAGGCCATATAACGTTGCACAGCTTTTGGCGGTGCTGGAGGGGAAGGCGCCCCATGTGGAGTTAATTAGGGAACATGCATCGCTGTATCTTGGACCTGTCGCAGTCCCCTCCTCAGGTGGCACTGGGCACAGATGCGCAAAGGGGGGAAATGGGGCTTTGACCGCATTGCCTTCGGCCTATTCACTTGCTGGTAAGTTGACAGTGAAGGTGCAGACGAATAATCAGTCGACGTCTGTGGACGATGAGCTGCCTCAAGATGATGATTATGAAAATGATGAGAGCCGCGCGGGGGCGACGTACAAACTTGACGATCGACGCAACTTTCGGGCAACTGTAAAGGGAGAGGATCTGATTTTTATCATGAAGCACCTTGACGCAGTGCTCGGCGATATGTTTGGCATTGAGCACCAGTACCACTCAAGAGTGGCCTTGGAAATCCTTCAGAAGCATCGTCTAGGAGGCATTCAATCCTATAACAGAAATAATGGCTCACAATTGCAACCTGTTCCACGCTACAGGAGCGAATCGCTTTACACAACAAAAGTGCAGACGTTATCTGAGGATTCAGCAACAACAACGCCGATGGCGACACTATCGTCAGTGGCACCAAAACCAACAAAGGGAGGCGATAATGGTGTTGGGGACTTGAGGTTTGCGGCTGCTTCCGGATTGGCTGGTGTGGCTCTTGGTGCTGCTGCGACACCTCTTTTCAGCAAAGGGACCTCGGTGATAGAACCTGAAGACGTGAATGAAGACTCCGTGGATCTGAGGGAAGTGGGAGAAGAGGTGGATATCCCGTACGATAGCACACACTCCCCAGCTACCCCTGCCGCACGTTTTGTCGACCACGATGAAAAGCATGACGATGAGGAGGAGGACTTTAATGAAGATAAAGCGGGTGAATTAAAGGAATTTGAGAAAGAAGACCCAGAGGAGGGTGCTGCCCAAGAAAATGGGGAGCATGGGAAAGACAATGAGCATGATGATGACAATGAGAGTGAAGGTGATGATGAAGACGACGATGATGAAAACGACGATGAGGAAGACGACGATGAGGAAGACGACGATGAGGATGACGACGATGATGAAGACAATGATGAGGAAGACGATGAAGAAGACAATGACCACGACGACGACGAAGACAATGATGATGAAGACAATGATGACCACGACGACGATGATGATGATGACGACGATGATGATGACGACGATGATGATGACGAAGATGAAGAAAGTGACCACGACGATGACGATCACGACGACGATGATGATGATGATTAATAGGATGAGAAAGACGATTATGATAGGGTCGACGATAGAAGAAGATGAGAAAGCGGGGGAAGTTGAGAGTGCACATTAGGCACCGCAGCAAAAGTCATTGCGAAGTCGTTAGAGTGAGACCTTTGCGAAGACGTGCTCGGTGTGTAGGAGGAACAGCGAGTGGAAGTAGGAGGATGCAGAGAGTGCTTTTTTTTTCTTCGATGATTCCGTCCTTGTTTTTTTTTTTTGACTTTTGTTTTGCTTTATTCCTGTAAATCTCCCCTGCTATTTTTTTTCTTGCGTCTCCTTATTTCGGGCTGTGCTGCGTGCCCCCCCCCATGCAAACATATGCGAGGAGGGTGGGCGAGCCAAATAGTGTTGGCGGTCGGCTGGAGGAAGTGGAGCGAGAGGGTTAGGGAGGGCGCCGCCATTCTTATTTATTTATTTTATTTTTCTTCTTTGCGGTTTCTGCTGTTTTGAAATTTTTTTTATTTTTATTTCTTAATTTTGGTCTCTTCCTGTTGCTTTTACCTTTTTTTTTCTTTTTTTTTTGTGTGTTTGTTTGTCTGTTTACTTCTCGATGGAACTTTCCTTATTTCCGTGAGAAAATAAATATTCCTAAGAGACGCGCCACAGACCAGTTGGAAGAGCTTCTTCTTCTTTGTTTGTGCCGAGGAAAAATTGGAAACCTGGAAGGGCAGAGTGAAACGACCGTACAACGCGACGATGGCGGCTTTGGGAATACCGTTGTTTGCCAAGTTGTGGTTTATTTTAACGGCACCTTTACTTTTAATCGATGCCACTTTTGTTTTTACCCGATCCTCCTCAACTGGTGTGCCACATCCGTTAGCAGACACACCACCATTCAATTTATGGGTGTTGTACTCCACCTACGATCGTCGGTACGCTCCAAACGACGATGCCTTCGTTGTGTTGCAGAGCTGTATGAATATTTTGGAGGCTGCACTTGGTCTTTTTGCGTTTCTGCTCGCTGAAAGAGGGAAAGCCATTGCAAGCCTCAAACTGGCCCTTGTTGTGGGTGTCATGACCCTCTACAAGACGCTGATGTATTTTTCGTTGGAGGCTATTGAGGGTGGGAAGTATACAAAGCACAACTCCACATTTGACGCACTAATGATGATTGCGCTGCCAAGCTCATTGTGGATCATCGTGCCGGCAGCGATAATTTTGCAGTGCAGTTGTCGCCTTCCTATTGCCGCTTCAGGGAGGACGGTAGCTCCGCAAGGAAAGAAGAAAAATATGTAGGATGTGTAATCAAAGGGATGTGAGGAGGGAAAAAGGGAGAAGGAACAAAAAGGGTGTGGGGAAACGAATAATACGAGAGGGAGGAAGTCCACTGGCATTGTACCGGTAGCTGTCCCATGACATGAATTGATGACCTCCGGAAGGGAGATGCCTTCTATACCCATTAGAACCAAAGAAGCGTCCAAGGCTTGGATTGAGGACAGAAGACGAATTGACAAAAAGAAGGAAATGTGTTGGAGCAAAATACGAGTGATTATGGGAAGAGAAAAGGTTTAACCATTTTTACTTTTTATCTTTCCACCCACCCACTTTGTGGGGTTCTTGTGGCTGGAGGATCCCAAAGTTTTCTACCTCGTAGGTAATATATATATATGTGTAGATGTGTACACTTACCTGGTGTTAAACCTCGAGGATATGGTGAATCCCCACTCTTTTTCCATTTATCCCTTTCCTATTCCTATCGGGTTTGTTTTCTCCTATTGATAAACTCAGGATTCGGCCAGCGGCCCAGAGGATTATTCTTTTTAGTTGCTGTCTTCTTCCTCCTCTCTCTCTCTCTCTATATATATATATATATATATATATATATGCTTTTTTAAAATTGTTTTCTGCGAAGAGGAACTAAGGCTTTAGGTCACACCCCAAAATGCCGCACAGGGTCACGTCTTGTTTGTTATTTTGGTTATGCATTTACTTCCTTGCCATACTTTCTTTTTTCACGTCCGTTTCCGTGAGGGCCGCCAAAGCTCCTGTAGCACTGCCATTCCCGGACTGGCGTGGTGGGAATCAGACCTCAGGAGCCCTGGAGCTTCTCGCAATTAGTGGGTGCGAACGACCTTCGCGACCCGGTAGAAGCCGAGAGACGTACCGATGCTTTGCAGACGGAGACTCGATGAGTCCGGTGACACTTACGATTCGTGGACGAGGGTTTCCACAAGGTACGCCGCTGAGGGTTTTGCTGAAGGAACATGCCCCAATTCCTTTTCGCTGCAAGGAGGGAGAAAATGAATGCGACTTGATTATGATGGAGTGCGTCAATGTACGGCCGTCGAAAATATTTCCACAGCAGATTTTGACATGTGCACTCCCTAACCCTTTGGAGGTCCTTCATCATAAACCCAAGTGGATGAAGCGACTCACACAAAACGCCATGTGGATGGATTTGGAACTTCGGTTGAAGAAAGCAGGGATGAAGAGTGGATTAAACGTTCGAGGTAAGGAAGAAGTTACAATTGGAGTCTTGAGTCGTTCCGTGCAATTATGTCTTGCGCAGGAGAATGCGGACGTTGGAGTGAAGGAAAATACTTTTCAGGAGATGTCTGAAGACCCACTGGAGCTTCTTTTTCAGAACGAGGATGAGTCGGTAGATGTTCACAGTCAATGGCTTTCGCTTGGCATTGGCGGTTTGGGGAATCAATTGCACACATTATACCGTCGGGTGCTTCTTACTCGGCTTCCTTCTCTTCGTGGTGTGGTCAAGACGATTAAACTGCCTCATGTACGAGGGGTGATACTACACGGCCCGCCCGGCAACGGAAAGACTCTTATTGCTCGCACAATTGCAAACTTACTTGATGACAGGGCGAAGGTGACGATAGTAAATAGTGCTGACATTCTCTCAAAGTACGTTGGGGACTCCGAAAAAAACTTGCGAGCCCTTTTCTTGAGTGCTGCTGATGTAGACGATAATGGGATGGGAGAGAGACGTGATGGAACGAAAAACGTGTTGGAAGGGCAACTGCACACCATTATTATTGATGAGATTGAGGCACTTTTTAGACGTCGTGGGGAGTCGGGCGATGAGGGCTCTGCCAAGGCTGTATACGATGGGTTGACAAACCAACTGCTTACTCTCATGGACGGCTTGGAGGGCGCAGCCAATATTCTTGTTATTGGACTTACCAATCAATTGCACGTCCTGGACCGTGCGCTGCTTCGTCCTGGTCGATTTGAGGTGGTGATAGAAATTCCTCTTCCTGACCGTGAGGGACGTAGAGACATGCTATTTATTCATACACGTGAGTTGCGTGAAAACCACCAGCTTTCACCAGATGTGAAACTGGACCTCTTGGTGAGCCGCACCGAGGGTTTTTCGGGTGCCGATATTGCCGGACTTGTCAGAGCGGCCTCTAGCCATGCATTAATACGGTATCGCGATTCTCTGGGTACAGCTTTGGCAGAAACCAGCCATGATGGTGACTCCGACGAGAAGGGCAAGGTGGCGGAATTTCAAATATCTAATGAAGATTTTGATCTTGCACTTCGGGACATCTTGAAGAGCAAATGGCAGACTACACCGGGGGAAATGTTGGGCGATGAAATTAATGATCCTTACAATGGGGCAGGTGTTCCACTGGTCGACTATGACGGTTCTTTTAGTCGGAACAAGGAGGCGACGCGGCGGTTGCTGCGGAGTATCCATCAAAGTCGTCTTGTGGATGCCGCTATTGTAATTATTTACGGCCCACCCGGCTCAGGAAAGACTGTGCTTGCACGTGAACTGCTAAAACTTAGCGAATTTGACAGTAAGACATATCTAACAGGCGGCGTGCTGCACAACCGTCCTCATGGTAGTCCTTTGGATGAAATTCTGACTGCTTTGCGGAGTGCTCTTCACTCAAATGGGGATATCGGTATCGTTATTGAGAATGTTGAGAATTACTTTCGAAACAATGGTCCAATGGATGGGGTGACTTTAAAACTTGCTCTCCAGGAGTTCAGAACGGCTACCCATTCACATGTGCCTTCCCGTATGCATGGTGCCGAAAAAGGCACCTCTTCCTCCTTTAAGCGGTTGCTGATTTTGACGACATCGGAGAAGGAAGTCATGTATGAATTAGTGGATGGTAATGAATACGATTTGCTGTTGTCGCTTCGTTTGATACAACGCAAAGACCTTATGCCGCTCTTGCATCACTATGCCGTGATTTCTCCAGAAGTGGTAACTGCGGAGGAGGTGATACGTGCCTATCCACCAAGTTTAAGTTACCGTCAATTTCTCAGAATCACGGATCTTGCTTTGTGGAGGGCACATGAGGATTATTTGAGCGCCAACGCCGCTGAAATTAACAAGGAAGAAACTTTTTACTCCAGAATAGATGCCCGTTTCCTTCAGGCTAGGCGTGGCTTAGGGGGAAACGGAAATGCAATTTCCCTCAATAGCAAAGAACATTTAGGAAATTTTAGCGAAGCCGTTCGGAATGTTGTGTCGGCGATGGGTTTTGTGGACAATTTCCACGAATTGGTGTCGGTGGATGACACCGTCGAGGGGGATGAGATTTCTTGGTAAATTTTGTTGGGACTCTGCACGTCCTGGTTTGTTTTCTATTTATTTCCCTTTTATTGAGAATCCTTATGGATATTTATACCTGCCCATCTCTGCGTGTCTCTGTGAGGAATGGCGTCATTTTTGCTTTATTGAACTATCCAGTATATAAATATACATTTGTGTGTACGTGTGTATAATGTGTTTTTCTTCTTATCTTTATCTTTTTTTTTTTTTTTCTGTTGCACGTGTTAGTTTCCGTTTGTTTTGCTGCATTTTTGTTGTTGTTGTTGTTTGCTTGTAGAAAATTTTTCTTTTAGTTTGTTGCGTCAATAAATGTTTCGTGGAGTTTGTGGCCTGCTTGGAGCGGCGAAGGCAACACCCACGGCTGCTGCCGCGTCCGTTACGAGTACGGCAGCAGCAACCGCGGGCGTATCTTCTTCCGGAGGCTCAGTGCGATCATCCACATGTGACACACGGCCACTCTACCTGGACTTTCAGGCCACCACGCCGTTAGATCCACGTGTGCTCGACAGGATGCTGCCGTATCTGACGGAACGGTACGGGAATCCACACAGTCGGACACATCGTTACGGATGGACGGCGGAAGATGCTGTGGAGAAGGCTCGTGCAGAGGTGGCAGATCTTATTGGAACCAGCCCCAAGGGAGTTTTCTTTACCAGCGGTGCGACCGAGTCTAATAACATCGCCATCAAGGGTGTGGCATATTACAACAAGAGCAAAAAGAATCACATAATAACACTTCAGACGGAGCACAAGTGTGTTTTGGATTCATGTCGTTATTTGGAGATGGACGGTTTTGAGGTAACGTATCTTCCGGTGGAAAAAAACGGTCTTGTTAATCTACAAAAAATTGAGGAAGCTATCCGTCCAACAACCGCTCTCGTTTCCTGCATGTACGTACACAATGAGATTGGTGTTATTCAACCTATCAGCGAGATTGGAAATTTATGTCGTAATAAAAAAGTTCTTTTCCACACGGATGCCGCACAAGCCTTGGGAAAAGTATCCATTGATGTGGAGCGTGATAATATAGACCTTATGTCTCTTTCCTCCCATAAAATTTATGGGCCAAAGGGATGTGGTGCTCTTTACATGCGTCGGCGTCCCCGAGTACGCGTGCGTTCTCCCGTCAGTGGCGGTGGTCAAGAGCGTGGTGTGCGGAGCGGCACTGTGGCGACGGCGCAGGTTGTTGGGATGGGCGCCGCCTGTGCAATTGCAAAGGTGGAAATGGAGCGAGACTCTGCGCACATTTCACGACTTTCAAAGCGTCTTCTGAATGGTTTGCAAAGTCGTTTGCCACACATAACGGTCAATGGGGACTTGGAAAAACGATATCCTGGTAACCTTAACATCAGTTTTTCCTGTGTTGAAGGCGAGAGTCTTTTGATGGGAATGAAGAACGTGGCCGTGTCAAGCGGAAGTGCGTGCACAAGCGCTTCTTTAGAGCCAAGCTACGTTCTCCGGGCGCTTGGCATTGATGCGGAAAATGCGCATACTTCCATTCGCTTTGGTATTGGCCGCTTCACCACTGAAAGGGAGATTGATGTGACGATTGAAGAATGCGTCCGGAACGTGGAGCGACTGCGTGAGATGTCGCCCCTGTGGGACCTTCTGCAAGAGGGCAAGAGTCTTGCGGATGTGGAGTGGCGGTAGGGGGCACAAGTGAGAGGATGAAGAGAAGAAAGGATGAAGGCAAGAGCGAAGTCAATATGGAGGAGGACTGGCTGTGGGAAAACCAAAGACGAAGACCCGCAAATTAGTAATTTATCGTCGGAGTTGTGGGGAATTTTGCGGGATGAAGGGAGGAACGAAGAGGGGGAGGGGGCGCAGCGCCAAAAAAAAAAAAAATAATCCAAAAGGAAATAAATTAATTGGATGTTATTATTATTATTATTATTATTTATTGCCTCTCCCGCGGAGTGCTCTGCATGTGGTGGTTTTTCGAGTCTCTCTTTTTCTTTTGTTGCCGTCCTCGTTTCTCGTTGACTTTTCGTCCATCGGGCATGACGACTTCTTCAGCCATTCCCCTTCAAGACAACAGCAACAACAAAATAAAAGGAATTCGCATGACGCGTCCTTTTTTGTTGTTATTTTTCATAATTCACCGGTGCGAAGAACCGCAAGTTTGTGGCGGACGTTTTTTTCTTTATTGTTTGTAAAGTGGTGGGAATTGTCTGGTTCTCTTTGTGTTTGTCTGTAGGAAGTGAAGGAGTCAATTTCTTTTTTTTTTTTTTTTTAATTCTTACGCACCCTCCATCCTTCTCCTGCTTATCCTACTCCATATACACACACGAAAACAAACAAACAAACACACGTGAGTGAGGGCGGGAACACCGCCACCGAAGATTCATCTTTTTTTTTTTTTTTTTTCATCCTTATCGTTCTTTATGTCCACTGCGCGTAAGGGCGGCCAAGTGGCGAATGTCTAGTCAGATGAGGCGTCTCATGATGAAGCAGCGACAGAATGGTCGCTACTATCACGGCCAGCAGCAGCAGCAGCAGCAGCGCCAAAGGGATTATGCTGATGAGGTGCACCCTTCCACCAGACGAAATCAACGTGATGATGTCGACAAGAGAAGTACAACAGGGAAAAATAAACGTTCCCGCGGAGAGGAAGGGATACAGGCCACTGCTGCAAATGGTGAGGAGGTTATTGAACGACTTGGAATCATCCCCAAAGTTACGCTTGATGAGATGGGTGGACTCGCAAAAGAGATACCGATTATTAAAGAATTGATCGAACTGCCCATCCGCTCACCTCATTTGTTTAGCCGTCTTGGGGCGGATCCTCCATGCGGTGTACTTCTTCATGGCCCACCAGGGTGCGGTAAAACAAAGTTGGTGCATGCAATTGCAGGCTCACTAGAGACACCACTATTTTTTGTGGCGGCACCTGAAATTGTTTCCGGTATCAGTGGCGATAGCGAGGCGAAATTGCGTAATCTTTTTATGGATGCTATTAGCGCGGCACCGAGTATAGTGTTCATTGATGAAATTGATACCATTGCGGGTCGTCGGGATCAGACGCAACGTGGTATGGAGAGTCGCATCGTGGGTCAACTTCTTTCTTGCATGGATCAAGTAGCACAGGCGTGGCGGCAGGAAAATAAAGTAGTTTGCGTGATGGGTGCGACAAACCGCCCAGAGGCGATTGACACAGCGCTGCGACGTGCAGGTCGATTTGATCGTGAAATTGCTCTTGGCATCCCAACCATGGCTGAGCGAGAGAGCATTTTGAATATCATTTGCCAAAAACTAAATGTTGCATCTGATGTTGATTTCTTTGAGCTTGCGAATATGACTCCTGGATATGTTGGCGCGGATCTTCATCTTTTAGTGAAGGAAGCCTGCATTTTGGCCATTCGTCGAAAGTACAACGAGTTGGAGGCGACAGGAGAGCTTGAAAACCCCAATGCAGAGGCTCTCATTTCCTTCACTGTCACATTTGATGAGATGAAGGAGGCCACGAAGCGGGTCCAGCCAAGTGCAATGCGAGAGGGATTCACCACGATCCCTAATGTCACATGGAATGACGTTGGTGCCTTAGAGGATGTACGTGAAGAGCTCTTTACAAGTATTTTGCAACCCATTCGCGCGCCCAGATTGCACAGAAGATTTGGCTTGGATCACCCTGTGGGAGTGTTGCTGTATGGTCCTCCAGGTTGTGGAAAGACACTTGTGGCGAAGGCAATTGCGAATCAGTCAGGTGCCAACTTTATTTCTATTAAGGGACCCGAATTATTAAACAAGTTTGTTGGTGAAAGTGAGCGGAGTGTCCGAATGGTGTTTGCTCGCGGACGTGCGAGTGCTCCTTGTGTTCTGTTTTTTGATGAGCTGGATGCACTAGCACCTCGTCGGGGGTCTGACCGTGCGAACCCAAGTAGCGAGCGTGTAGTGAACCAATTGTTAACGGAAATGGACGGTATAGAGGGAAGGGAGGACGTGTACGTCATTGGTGCGACCAACCGACCCGATATGATTGATCCTGCCATGCTGCGTCCTGGGCGTCTGGACAAGCTCCTCTATGTTCCCCTTCCCTCCGTCGAGCAGCGTGTTTCCATTTTGGCAACACACGCCCGCCGTTACCCGATTGACGCCTCGGTGGACCTGAACCGCATTGCTCATGACCCACGACTTCAGGGGTTCAGCGGAGCAGACTTGGCAGCTCTCGTGCGGGAGGCCTCACTGCATGCCCTGAAGAAACTGTACCGCTCCACCACCGCGGAGGAGCTGGACTTGCTGGAGCGGAATCTCGGTGGAGAAAGCATCGAAAAGACACTGCTGCCTTCTGTGTGCGACGAGGATTTTGAGGCCAGTTTGCAGAAGGTTAGGCCCTCTGTTTCTGCGGAGGATCGGGAGAGCTATGAGTTGCTGCACCGGCATATCATACAGTCAGCGAGGTCTACGGTATGAAAGAAGAGAGAGCTCCTCATCCCGCGTTTTCAGTGGAACGAAAGGAGGGGGACAACGGGAAGAGGAAAGAAAAAAAAAGAAAGAAATGGGCAAATAACAGCAATGATAATAATATTAATAATAATAATAATAAACAACAGGCTAAGTCACAAGTACTCCGGCGTCTTTTTCGTGATTCTCCTCTTCTAATTTGTTCTTCTGCTGATTGTGTGGCGTTTTTTTTTTTTCACGTCACCGCTCTCTCATTTATGAAAATGCTTTGAAAGATTTCTTTGGTTTGTATGAAGATTTTGGCGAGGGGCACGCCATGGAACTCTCTTTTTTCCTGTTTTATTCCTTTTCTTCGCGGTTCTAATGGACGGTTCTAATGTTTCCGCCTTCTTGTCTTTTGTTGTCTGGCGAGTCAGTAGTATGAGGTTGCGGTGAAGCAGAAGGAAGTTTTCAGATTTTTGCTGTTTTTTTCTCTTTTTTTTTTCAGTTGTCATATTTCCCTACGCCTATAGTCACACATTCTGTTTGGGTGCAAAAAAGTTCACCGCGGGTGGTCCTATTTGAAGCTTTTTTTCCCTTTTTACTGTATTACTACTCCCGCAGGACATCTCTCCTTCAACGACCCGCCCATCTGAATTACACTCCCATACAGACAACTGCTGTTGATGCTGCGTTGCACGCTCTGTCGTCATGCGTTGCCGAAGATTGAGCGGCGCAAACGGAAGGGACAACATGCTCGGCCGGGACTTCCAGATCTTCCAAAGAGTGCTGGCGGCTACTTCTTCCTGCAGATGCGTCCCTACCTCCCCATAGCGTGGCAGTATGGATGGCGTTGGAGAATGCTCCAGGGCCTGTGGCTTGGCACGGCCCTTTCTTTTGCGGGTTATTTGTTGTACGTCATGTACTTCCGGGACTCGGATGAGGTCATTGCGGCCAAGGCGGCCAAGTATACATATGTGCGAAACGAACGGGGAGAGGTGATTGACATCGGCTACAAACCGCTCATTGATGCAAGTCGTCGTGCACAACGACGAGCCCAGCGTTTGTTGGCTGATGATGACGATGGGGATTGATCTTGGTCAGAATTGAAAAGCATCCGACGTAGCGTGATGAGGACTTCTTTTGGTATGAGTTGTTCTTTTTGTTTGATCTAATTGTTTGATGTTTTGTTTTGCGGCGGTGTGACTGGTGTGGCAATACAGCTGGCAGTTTTTTTTTTTTTTCTGCCGGAAGGGCTGTTCTACGATGAATTTGTGAAGTGCGTGGCACGCGTTTTTTTTTTTTTGACCATTTTCAATTATTCGGCACGCCTTGGCAATAGAGGGGACACGGCAGCTTTCACTGAACCGCGTGATTTTGAATTGTGTTTTTAGGAGCAGCTGTTTTTTCACCGTGTTATTCACTTTTTCCTTTGTTTTCCATGTTTTTTTTCTTAATTTTTTATTCTCACGATGCTGGTGAGGCGGCAGCCACGACTTCATCGCATTCCGGTGACGTTATTTTTTCCCAGAGAGACAGGGACGCGTATAGAGACGGGGTGAGGGGGGCAAACATGGGGCATGTGAAAGAAGAAATGTCCCCGCGGCGAGAGGATACCGCCGTGGAGAGTCCAATGATGCTTCCTACGGAGCAGCACAGCCGGGTCATACAGCCTTTTCACGCCCACATTCTCTTTCTGGAGGATGCCTTTTTTAGCGCTGAACAGCAGAAACTGGAGATGTTTGACTTGGGGTGTGCCTTTCTGGTGCCGGTCGACATTTCACGCTCTCTCACACCGGAGCAGATGGAGGGGGCGGAGCAGCGTTTGCAACTACTTTTACGTTCCTTTGAGAGGGCCTGCCAGGATGAACTCGCAACTCTCCGAGAAGAAGGGGATGCATTAAAACAGCGGATGGCGCACATCATTGCGATGTCCGAAGAAAAGTGGAGATTGGCTGAGCGCTCCCGTCAGGATGACTTTATGGAGATGTCTGTCGCATGTCAAAAAGACGTTGCTGCCATCACCGCAGAGTTGCGGTCGGGGGTACTGAGTTGCCTCCAAGACAGCCGAATGAGTGCAGTACTGGAAGAGGCCCTGAACGTCAAGATCAATGAGCTGCGGGTGATGCAAGGACAACTGGAGGATCTCACGGAGTTGCGATTAAAGGAGTTCACGGAGCACCAAAAGCTCCTGCAAGCGGAACGGGAAAGGCACCGAGAACGTTTTTTGGTACTACAGGAGGAGACCACACGAACAGTTAACTCGTTGACGGCGGACATTGAGCGGCAGCTGCGCCAGCATTTGCGAGAGATTAGGGAGGTGCAGCGGCAACACACTGTTCAGGTGAAAGACTTGGAGAGGCAACTGCAAGAAGAGAGGGAAGCCCACGCCACTGAGTCGCAGAAGCACACAGAGGAGTTGGATCAAATCCAAGCAACGGTGAAAAAATTAGAGGAGGATAAAACGCGGCTCATGCAGGAGTTAGGTGAGCAGCATTCACAAGTCGAGGAGTGGCGTAGGCGCTACAATGAGCGGGATTCGCTGGCCAAGTTGGAACGGATAGAGCACCAGGCGCGTTTTGATGAGCTGCATGTCGAGGAGGCACAGACGTTTCGCAAACAATTGGTTGACAGTGTGCGCCGCAGTGCCTCTTTATCATTTGATCGCCCAAATTCTAACGGAAAATCATTGTCGAGGAGTAGTGCTCCCCATTCATTTCTCATGACGAGCGAGAGTAATGTGCAGGGCCGTCATTCAACCGGGGCCGCTGAGGGATCCATTCATTCACTGCACTCTCATGAGAAACTCACGGCCGTATTGTCCCCAGGGTCTTCTGAGGGTTCTGCTAACCCGTATGCCAACATATCGCTTCACAATCCAACGTCAAGTTATGTCAGGCTTATGAACTTGTCTGAGCAATTGAAAAAACATATTGAATTCAACTGATTTTCTGGACCTTGTTTCTTTTTTTTTTTTTTTTAGGGAGGAGAGGGAGGGAGGGAGGGAGGGGAAAAAGCAATTTTGAACTCTGTCTTGCCTCAATTATTACTTTCTCATCCATTTATTATTTGTTGTTGTGTAGGTAAACGACATTTATCGTGCGTGTGTTTGTGTGTGGCGTTTTGTTTTGAATTCCAAAGCGAGTAGGTTGAATTTTTTTTTTCTTTGTTTTAAATATCATGAACATTTGTGTTACGTGTATTTGCCCGCAATAACTTTTTCTCTCTCCCCTTTTTTTTTTCTCTTTTTTTTACTTGTACTCTTTATTTTTCACTTGGTACTTGCAGCGTGAAAGCGACGAATAATGACAAGAGTAAAAATAGGAAGAATTTGATTGATGCTTCTGTGGATAACTCGGCCAGTGTTTGTGTGTGTGTGACGTGAAGGTATCGTGTTCTTTCAAAATCATGTTTCTCTTGTGTTTATGTCTTCTTTGGCATCTTAGAACTTTTATGCAGAAGCGGAGAAAATAAACTGCGGACCTGTTCGAAAAGGCAAAATAAAATACAGGGAAGACATATTGCACGTGCAAGGAGGAGGCTTTTTTTATGAGTGAGAAGGCTGAGCGATCCGCCTCCCCCGTATCTGATGGCTGCTATCCCGTCCCTCCTGCGCTTCCACCGGTAAATAATTCCGTCGTTTCACGGGAATTTGCCCCTGCCGCACCCTCCGAACCCACCGGGAGCAAAATTTCGATACCGTACACCAGTATGAGCGCAGCTACTCTTCCATTGACCTCAGCTTTGAGCGGCCGCGGCGGCATGAGTACCGCACATAGCCGAAGGAAGGGGGGTCCCATGACGTTGTATGTGCGCTCAGGCAGCTGTGATAACAGGGACTGGGCGGGCTCGAGGGAGGAAATGAAAGGAGAAAAGCGGGACTACGCTGAGCAAACTGCGTTGGCTCACGGAGAAAGGGACCCCGTGGAAATGAGTTCCAATCTGATTCGAGAAGCACTCACGATGGGATCAACCGTGACGCGGGCCGTCAAGGATGCGATCCCAGGATTTGTGAAGCCTAAAAAACGAGGACGCAGCGTCACGGAACCGTTGGTCTTCATTTTCTTTATGGTTGTGTTTATTTTCCTTTTTCGCATTGCGGAGGAACAGATTCAGTGGATGATCCGAGTTGTCACGTACGATAATGAACAGAATGTCATAGTTGCAATAAGTTTGACGGAACAACTGCTTGAAAAGGCAAACGAGGTGAATGAACTCATGAAGCCAGTTAAACGAACCCCTAGTGATGTCCTAGAGAAGGAAAAGACAAAGTTGAAGGAGATGACCGAGTTGCAAGAGACCAGCATTAAACATTTGCATTCCCGAATGCTTTACCCAGGGCCGGCGGAGGATGTCAAGTTCCTGGTTGAGGAACACGTGGCCTACAAAACGAACCTGGCGAAGATGGTTAGAGAAGAACTGGAATGGCTTGAAGATAAAAAGCAGGAGCGACGTGGCCGTCGAGTCAACCCAGACGAAAGTGTAGTGGGAATGAGGCAAGTAGAGAAGGAGGGAACCAATTCAAAAGACAGAAAGCGCATGGCAGGATTACAGCGGCAGCGGGAGTTTTCAGAGCAACAGGCTTACTTACTGCAGAAAAGCGAGATTACCATGTCGAAAAAGGCCACAGGAGTCATTGGCATTTGGAAGGAGTATTTTTCTTCATACTTGATGAATCGTATTGTAGCGGTGCTGGTGTTATTTTTCCTCACAGTGTTATATCTTCGACTTTCGTAGACACGAACGCAATGGACATTTTTCCGCCGCCATACCTATGCGTATGCAAATATGCGTATATTCACCTGTTTCGCTATGTCTGTGTGCATAACGGAAGATGGCGAAGGAGATTGATTGTAAAATACCATGGCTTTCCAAATGAATCATTACTTTCTCCGCCACACCCATCCAAGTACTCTTCGCTTTCCTTATATATATATATATATATATATATACATATTTAATAGTGTGTTTCTATTTTTGTTTGATTTTTTACGTTTTTCACTTTTTTTTTTTTTTTGTATGTGTTTGAATTTGTTTCTTCTGTGCAAAGAAGTGTTTTTTTTTTAACCACTGTCACTCCTGCAGTGGCCTGCGGAAGTTGAGGCGGAGGTGTGAGCATTCAGAGGAAGAGAGGGAGGGACGCTAACAAATTCCCATCAGCCCTTAGCAAAACAGGGGCAAAGGGCAACGAGCAACACGAGCAGATTGAAGAACTAGAGAAACGACATCGTTTTTATGCTTCGTCGTCTTGCTGTGGGTCCTTGTGTGCTGCTTCGTCTGCGGTTTGACGGCGCTGCGGGGGAAGCGGGACGCGGTTCGGTCCGGTACAAGCGACTCCCGGAAAGTATGCAGCCAAAGTCACTTGGAGAAAATTTCACACCCTTCCCGCTGCCCAAATATGACGAGGACTTTGGTTACGGTCCTGTACGATTGCGCAACATTCCTGACATTGAGAAGGCAAAGGAGCGAGAGCAACGACGAGGCCCGGCACTCATGGAGTCCTCCTTAGAGACGAGTGAAAACGAGACGAACATGCAATTGCAGGTGGAAGGATCCGCTTTGCCATCTTCGAGTGATGTCTCTTCTGATCCGCTGTGTAAAAAAGAGACTGTTGGGGATGGGGACAGCCTTGGTGGCTACGCTGTCTCTCGCCATTACCCTCAAATTGACCGCCTGGAGTGTAATCGCTCGCTTAAGAGTCTTCTGTTGCAGTTTGTGCAGCGGCCACAAGTAGAGGCTCGCTGTGCCGCGTTGGCTGATATGGCCTCCACTATTTCAACGCGCAGTGATGCAGAGTTGGTACGTATGTTTGAGGAGGTGAGCAGTCCATTTGCTTACGACGGTAGAGGGCTTAACTTTCTCGTTACCACCGTCAAGAAGTTTGGTCGTCCATATGCTGTTACCAATTCTCTTGTTACCGCCTATGTGAATTTAATGAATGCGGCTACAGTCACACTTGTTCAGGAGCAACCATGGCGTCTTTCACGTTGCCCCGCATTGACCATTCAGCTTATTCATTTTATGGCCCTGATCAAAGTGTTTGAACCCAATAAATGGTTTACGTCATCGAATCATGCACCATCCAATCGTGCAGACTACAAACATCCACGAGGTACGAACCAGAAGACGGCGTTTTGGAGAACCGGTGAGGAGTTATTTGACTTTATGGTTGAGCTGGTACGCTGTGACGAGCACGGTGTGGTCCCCCCTTTACTGGATCTGTGTACCGATGAACAACTTGTGGATTTGTTAAATGGATTTTTGGCGATTATGCCAAACGGGGCACCTCTTGGCAGCGTTTTTAATTCCATTATGGGGTGCTTTTTGCAGCGTGCGAGGAGCAATTTGAAAAGGAGTTTGACCTCGCAGGATTTTGGGACAATGGAACGTATGTATCTGACCTCCGTTATGGCTGATGCGAGCAACGATGAATTACTAAAGATTCTCTTCACTGACAGCAGCTGTCCGCGAGGCCCTAATTTCTTTGCGGCTCTTTCGAGAAGGCAAGAGACGCTGTTGCATGAAAAGGCGCTTGTCTTTTTGCAGGAGGCAATTGACACGGCCAATGAAAATCACGATGCCCCTACCCTTTTGGCGCTCATGGAAAGTGGCTCAGAGATGTTACTTTCAATGGTCAATAAGGATCTTGCCCACGAATTTGCGGTGAAAAATCAATTTGACTACCAAATTTTGCGTTCATTTCAACACTTTGGTGTTGTTGCGGACCGCCTACGCATGGAGCAGTCGGGCACTTCCGCACGTATTCCTCTCTTAATGCGTGATGTGCAGGCACAGTTGCTCGCTAGCAACACGGCCCAAGCGTGTCTTGTGGATGAGACGGCGTCACAGTCCTCGGCTTTTCTGTCGGAGTATGTGTTGCCCTACCCCGCACGTCGCCCCTCACGTCCGTTGATGACCATGCTGTCCCAGCTGGATTATCTTAATAGTATGAGCTCCGTCTTTTTACTGCACTCTTCTCTGATGGCGACATCAACGGACCAGCTTGTTTCTGCCGTGCGGCGACTTCAGAGTGGGAAGGATAGCCTGATTGTTTCCATGAGCTGTCTTCGCGAACTGTCGGTGAAATTTGTCACAAGCCCCAAACAAAAGGAGCGGGAAGCCTGTGAACGGGCCCTGGAGATCATTGCATACGAGGTTGAAAAGGGCCGAATCGTGCTCCTGCCATTTAGCGAGGAAATTCGCCTACATGATGCGGGGACCTACTGCGACGAGGACCTCATCCTTTGGTCGATCGCTGTCTTCTTTGCGAGGGAGCTGCCGCTGGTGAAAGTGCGCACGCTGATGCACAGTGACTGCACCGCACGCACCCCTTATCGATTCCTCAAGGGCAGACACAACCTCCTCGTTTCCTCACACTCACTGTATGACAAGGACGCACCGCTGCTAAGTGCGCTTCACAGCAAAGAATTAAGGCTTGTGACGCGAAACGCCAAATTGCGAACGGCGTTGCGTGATCGCAAGTGTACGTTGCACTACTACAATCCGATACGGGCTCGTTTTGTGTACCGTCGTGATAAGGCAATGTTTGAAAAGTATCATACTAACGCACGGAACCTGGCGCCTGGATTCAGTCGTGGGGCGTTGCATCATGACTGGCGCGGCCTTGGAGTGTATACCCCAGACCATCCGCAAGTGCCATACCGTCCTCTCACGTGGAGGAAAAGTGAATTGAAATTGAGGGCGGCTTAACGTTGTTGGGTTTATACAAAAAATACATTTATGTTCAAGTTAAAATACGCATACGATAAGAATTTATACATTGAACACGCGTGGGAGGATATATATATTTCGTTTTTGTGTTGTCGTTTACTTTGAGTTCTCACTGTCTGCTTTTTGCCTTATTTTTTTTGTTGCTGTTTTTTTTTTCTGTGTGTGTGTGCTTGTCACCATTGGGTGAGGCCGTGTGAATTTGTCTGGGGATAAGTTACTCCTCTTATACACATATACATACATATTCATTCACACAGACACGCAAAAAAAGAAAAAAAAGATATAAAAGAAGGAGGTGGTGCCTTTGTTTGTTTGAAGAAGAGTTAGCATGTGGACTCAACAATTATCTCTTCAGAAGCCAAATGCGCAACAAACACCGGAGGAAAAACGTAAGCAGGCACTAGTGACGGCGAATGTGTTTATCGAAAACAATCGCGGTCTGGTACGAAAGGCAATGGATCAATATCAAAGCGTGGCTGGTAGCAATTACTGGACGTACGGCTACATGGGCGGAGCCATGGTAACAACTATGGCTGCTTGTCTCTCTATTGGGGGTCGAGTGCCTTTTTTTCGCAATTATGCGAGCTGGATATCATTAGCTGGTGGTTACTTTGGTGGCAAGGCAATGCTAGGGATGCACAATTCTTATAATTTGGCTTCTGTTGTGAATGTCATCAACAAATCGATTGATGAGACGAGGAAAATGGATGAGCAGCACGGATTCAGCATCCCTGAATATGCTCGGGAAGTGGATTCACTGAAACGGATGAAATATGAACTAATACCATACAGCACAGAGGCCATTGAGGCACGAAAGCATGATGTGAAAAACATGTCACTTAACGAGAGTGCAGATGCACTTGTTGAGGCATACGAGAAACGAAAACAGGCATCTGCTCAGAGGAAGTGAGGGGGGACGTTGAGGAAATCGATAAAGAAACGTTGGGTAAATTTTTGTGGTTTTTTTTTGTTTTTGTTGTTGACGCATGGCTTTAATGCGCATGCGTGTCAATGAAGTGGCATTTTTGTTTGAGCCACAGCTGGTATTGCCACGAACAGAAGAACACTCTTATCATCTTTTGGGTGGTTGTTCAGAACGTTTCTTTTCTTTTTATTCTCTCACTCACGGCGCAAATGGACACATGTCCGCATGGTCTTTTGCTGCGCCACCGTTAATAGGTCTAACAATCGACCAACAAAAAAGGTCTGAGCGTGGGGGTGGGTGGAAGGAAAAGAGAAGGGCTGTGGAACGGTGGATGCAGAAACGAGGAGTGGCCTCTTCTCTGCGAAATCCCCAGACATTTGGGGGTGCGGCGGAGGGAATTGACGACTCGCAGTTGTACACCTCTGCGGAGCTGTTCCCCTATCTCAGCGTGGAGGATCGTGAGAATCTAAACAGGGAGGTTGTGGCGGCGATCAATAACGAATTGGTGCACCACGAGAATTTGGAAGTTACCGTTCCGCGTCTTTTGCGTTCCTGTGCCACTGAGGCAAAGGAGCTTCGTCGAGCCATCAATTCCATGGCCTCGTCACAAATGCTGGAGGGGCACCGCGCGGTGCAAATTGTAAAGGAGTGTGGTGAACGCATTCAAGATCTGCGAGAGCTTTTTATGGAACAAGGTGACCTCATCACGGGCATGGAGGTGACGTCAGGGAGCTACAAGCAACTGCGACAGTTGCATTTCTTACGCGAAAACATCTTGTCTGTTATAAAATGGGCAGAGGCACTAAAAGAGGTGCGATACACAAATCTGTACAAGCTTGTAGAGCAAAGACAGTTTGCGGAGGTACATAAACGTCTGCGTCGTTTGCAATTGATTCGACGCACAGTCTCTGAAAAGGCGGATAGCAAATATCGCAATGTGTTTGAACCTTACTTTGAAAAGCTGGATGCAGTACAAACAATGTTTGTATCGGAGGTATACAAACTGTTGGAGGAAAGCTCGATGCATGTTGCGATTCAAATGGCACTTGAAGATTTGCCGGATGCCGGTACCGTTGCGGAGGTTTTTCCGGAATTCAAGCAACTTGAGGAGTGTGTGCAACTCTGTGGGGAAGAGGTTGGAGGAGGAGAAGATGGGACGGGTATTGGCGTCTTGTGTACGGCTGACGGTGAACCGCTCATCACTGAGGAGAAAGTGTACCGTGCTGTACGCAAGTGCGTGGCTCGACTGTGGGAGGAACAAGTGATGGTGGATGTGGTGGATCCCATTGCACAGATCTCCACTTATCTCGAACAAATGAAAAAAGTGGCACCATTGCTGGGTGCACTGGAACTGACACTTATTCCCCTCTCGACGAAGTTTTCCTTCTTTGCCCTCGTTGTGGGTTCCATTCACGATGAAGTGATGAACTTTTTGCAGGGGTACGTGGATCCTGCCGCGGAGGTGGAAGCAACTGGTCTTCTTGAGGCTTCACAGTTTGTACAGTGGTATAAGGAGTCGATGACAGAAGCAAATTACGCCATTTACATTGATCTTAACGCCATCGATAGCCTTTCTGCATTAATGATGACATCTGCTGTTGGAGGTCTTTCGGCACATCTTATTCGACTCTGTCGTGCCTGTGCCATATCAGTGGGAACTGGACGAAGTGAACCAACAACAATGAAAAATGGATTACCCGTGACAACTGGTCCAGTGGACATGTTTGCGGTTCTGCAACAATCTTTGGGAGGCCTTTCTACAGCCATTGAGGTTTCTGTAATGCGTCAGATAGGTGTTGCCTGCGCAGAGGCGATTGGAGCTTACCTTGAAGAATGCAAAATTCGCAGTGATTATGATTTCTGGGAAGAGGAAAATGAATCAATGCGAATCTCGGTTGAGGAATGGACTACACGTCGATTGTTATTTCTCTACGCCTTTTGTAATGACTGCTCAACTATTGAACGTAATATGGATACTATTGAGATTAAGTTTGCCCCCTATTGGGACGACGAGGAGGGTGGTGAGTATTCATCGCCGTTTCAACAAACTCAAGACCTGATATCAGAGCATGCCTTATTCTATCTGGACGAGATTGTACTGCACGTTGAGCGTGTAGTGGATGCGCAGTGGGCTCTCCTGTTTCGTTCCAAAGATTGGTATAGTGTAGATGATAACCCGACACAGGTTATTATAGACACGATGAGTGACTTTATTGATGAGGAATTTACTAAGGCGCTTGAGGAGACACGGATGCGCTTGGCTATGCGAAGTATGTTGACGCGATATGTCCAAAAATACCTTACAACACTAATGGAGTTCCTTGGAGAAATTATACGCCACCAAAACAATCGATCTGTCGAGGACTGGAATGCGTTTGTTGACTGCTTTAGTCGTGATACCGTACTCGCCATGGATATGTGGGATGAACGTGTGAAGGAGGGCAATGGGAAACTGGTTAATAGTGCACGACGTGTATTGGAGGTTATAATGCATCTCCTCAGTGTAAAGAAACCGGTGGATTTCAATTTTATTGTGCAGAAGGATCTTCTGGATGATTATGGTGATTGTCCATCCTTTGTGGTGCGCTTCATCTTGCAGGCTCGACAAAATGAGCTTGACAAGGATTCACGTGACACCATGATGGCGTTATGGAACGAGCGCGTGGCGTTTCAGCAGCGCGGACCAGATGATGTTCCCACGGTTGGCTGGTCCCAGCCACCGTCCTTTCTCGGTGCACTGGATCGCTCATTAGCAGAACTGAACAAGAGGGGTGGTCTCTTCCGCACAAGCCCACGAAAAAGGCGAGTAAAGGCCGAGCAAAAGCGGCGGGAGGATGAAAAACAAGCCAGGCGGGAGGAACGACGCGTCAGACGTGAGGCCGACGCGACGGCCAAAAAAATGAAAGGACCGTTCAAGGCAGGGATGCACTCTCTTCAAGATGACACGGTGGAGGTAGGCAAACTCGCTGATCTTCTCAAGTGAGAGAGATCAGTAGAGAAGGAAGGGAGGAAGAAGTGGGGTAATGCGAATGCATGCCTGTGAAATGGAGAGGTAGGAAGAAACAGTGAGCGATAAACCAAAAGGGTGAGAAAAAAGAGAATGTACATGAGTTGATTTCACAGCAGCCCTTACTGTTCTTAAATATTTTGATACTACCTATTTACATTGACGATTCCTTTTTAAGCTTTCTTCCTCCCTCCCTCTCTCTCTCTGTCTCTCTCTCTCTCTATATATATATATATATAGTTATTGCCTGAATGCAGGCATGCAGCAAGTCGAGCACGAAATGAAGAAAACTTCTGGGGTACCGTATCTTGTCGATGTTGCGTTGAACCTCACAGACTGTGTCTTTCGCGGTGTTGACTGGAAAGGACGGCGGGTCCACGCGGACAATTTTGATGATGTTCTTCGGCGAGCAGGGGAGCAGAACGTAAAAAAGATGATTGTTACCGGCACAAACCTTGCGCAGTGTGTTAAAGCGATACGCCTTTGCCGTCGTTACCCGTCGCAGCTGCTCTGCACCGTTGGGATTCACCCCGCTCACTGCGCTGAGATGATGTTGCCAATGGACTGGGCGAGGATTGAGGAGGCCGCAGATGACGATGTTTCGATTCAGGTGCCCCAGCCTCCTTCTTCCGTAGTCGATACCACGGCGAATTGCCAGTACACCGAGGATCGGTTGAAAAAACTGGTGGAGTTGATCGAAGAGAACCGTGATGTTGTTGTGGCCGTGGGGGAAATTGGTCTTGACTACGCCGAACTTTCCTACTGCCCGCGAGAAATCCAACAAAAATATTTTATTCGACAGCTTCGTGCTTTTCGTTCGTTGCGTCTGCCATTTCTCTTTCATTCACGCGACTGTGGTACGGACTTTGTGCAAATCATTGAGGAGGAACGACGAGAATGGCCAAGCGATTTTCCCTTCGTGGGTGTGGTGCATAGTTTCAGAGGACCCCCTGAAGAACAGCAACGACTCTTGGCGATGAGCGGCATCTATTTTAGTATTAATGGGAGTGCGTTTAGGGAGAAGAGCACTGCGGAGCAGATCTGTTCTCTTCCCCTTGATCGGGTCATGCTAGAAACCGATGCGCCCTGGTGCGACATTCGCAAACAGCATTACGGGGCGCAGTTTGTGCGAACTTTTTTTGAGACGAATTGCAAAGGAGGTCCGTTTGTGTCTACGTTGTGTAATGAACGTCGCAACGAGCCCTGCCACCTGCGACAGGTTTTAGAGGCATACACGGGCGCGTTACGTCGCTTTGGAGAGAAGATGGCAGACGAAGCGTTGCGTGGCATTACAGAGGAGGAAGTTGTGCGGCAACTGTTTAACAACTGTGTCACCGTTTTTGGCCTTGGAGAAGCTGAGAAAATTGACGCAGACACGCGTGACTGAGAGCGACTGCGGCGGGGATCAGAGTTTCCTTGTGTGTGCCTATTGACTGACTAATATTTTTGAGGGAGGAACGCTCTTTTTTTTTTTTACATTCTCCCTTCCTTTCGATTGTCTGTTGTGTTTTTGTGTTTGTTAAGACTTTTCTGCCATTTATTTATTATTATTATTATTATTTATTTATTTTGGTTTCAACAGCAACAACAAAAAACAAACAAACAGGAATAGGTGGTGGAGGTGCGGTGGTCTCTCCACAATGAAGCGAGAAAGACAGTTCACGGTAAACGATGAAGACGCGCAGAGGCGCCGGGCACAGACGGATAGTGGGGATGACGAGACGCTGTTGAAGGAGGAGATTCTAACGGTGGAGGAGACACAGACTGTCCTTGTCCGCCTACCGTGCCTGGACTTCTTTAGGGATGCGCATATATGCGAGGAGGCCGCCGCCAATGGCCGTGCGGAGGCCACTCATGAGGGGGATGAGCGGCACCCGTCGCGGTTCAGGGCAGACGGGCTCACCTTCAAAAGTGGCACGCTGGAAACAGCTCACCCAGTCGTCGTGCTTCGTACAAAAGAGTACGGTGAAATGGAGTTTGAGGGGTCATGGGTCGCCTCTCATGAAAAGAGCGTCTTTGACGCGCCGTCGAGTAATCGTGTGGTGGTGCAACTCTGCGAGAGGGGCGATGAACAAACAGAGAAGGGAATTCACGGTAGTGTCCACGATGCAAGTGGTAGCGGTAGCGGTGCTTTTAATGAACCGCGTTCGGTCAGTGATAAAAGAGGCGCATCAACGGGAGTTGGAGTGGCGAGTCTCTTGAAACACCCGTCCGTTGGCATCACAGCTGACGAGGCACGTGGACGAAAAAGGGCTCGCAACGCATCATGGGGCTACGGACGAATAGATGTACCATGTGCAACGCTGGTGCTACGACGTGTGAAGTAAAAGCAAACTTTTGATTTGATTTTGGCGTCGTCGCGATGCAGTGAAATAAGTTTTGCTGCAGAAGAGGGACTGTGGTTTATCCGCTGTGCGCACTATTTCCGCTCTGCTTGTTTGCTTCTGCCGCTGTTTTTCCTTTGCTGATTGTAATAAAAAAACGCCATTGGCGGGGGGGGCATTGATCCTCTGTGTGATTATGCCCCGCAGTCGCCATGGGTTTGCGTTTATTTACATTCATTTTTTTCTTCTTTTTGCCTCGTTTTATTATTATTTATTATTATTTTTTCTGTGGCTTTACGGCAGAGTTCCTTCTTAAAATTAGAAACGCACACGCCTCCGGGGAACGAAGTGGTGCTCCCACCTGCCATTTTGACAAAGTTCTCTACTCTGGTTGGGCCATGTTGCGTCATGTCGACTGGGAGACGCAGCAGCAGTCGTCTCTCTCACGTTCCCATCAATACCACCAGCACAAATTAAAAGGGACCCGAACACCGCTTCCTCGGCGAGAGGCTCCACCACCGCCACTACTGGCATCTACCACACCTTCACCAAGTTCACCCCCTGCTGTTGGTATCATGTCTATGTCGTCTCCCTTGCCACACGAATATCATGTTCCTAGTTTGCCTCAAGAGAATTCTCCTGACCGCTTCTCTGTATTGAATGCCAACAAGCGCGTGCTCAATGATATACAAAAAGATTGCCTTCATTGTGTCGATGACGAGCTGACATGGCGCCAGGAGGCCTTAAGGAAGGAGCGTGAACTCACTGAACGAGAGGAGGAGTTTAATACCCTTGTCCAAATGCAACACGCTGCATACAAGGAACGACTAGAAGAGATATCGCGCAAGGAAAAGTATCTTATGGAGTGGGAGCAGAGGTTGCGATCTGCAGAGAAGCTTATGCAAGCACGAAGCGAAAAAAAGTAACATTGACGCCTAATGCTTTGTCGCTACTGATGTTGTTCGAAGTTTACTCCGTGGTACACGGAATGAAGCACAAGAGGTTCTCTCTGGGGTGCTGAGTGGGATTCTCTCAACCCCATCTTCCTACAATAGATTAGATCAATCACGTCCAGAGAACGAAATGAAAAGAAGTTATTGCTTTGAGTGGAATAATTGCCTCACTCCCTCTTTTCCCCCCCCACCCCCCCCAAACAGTAGCCTTGCATATTCTATTACGCACTCTATTCTTTTTAATAATTTCAATTTGTCTTTTTTCTTTCAACTTGCCATCTCCATACAACCCAGCTTGCCCACTCACTCAGTTAGGCGACACCAATAATGCAAGAATGAACGCTGTGCAGCATCCGCTGTTTCTTCCGTCGGCTATCACGTTGGGTTCCGGGTGTGCACGTGTGAAAGTCGTGGTGTGTTGGCGCAGGTGGGTCGCATATCGACGAGAAGGTGGGTCCAGCCCACGGCACCGGCCCACGGTGTGGAGTTTCCGAAATTGGTGACATGAACGAGCAGGCATCGTTTTTGTGAAGGCGAGGGAATTGTCAAAATTACTATTGTCGTTGTTGCTTTAGATGCAGCTTGTCGAATCGAGGGAGAAGAAGTGGGAAGTGGTGACACCTTGCCTTGCGCATCAGACGGCGGTGAGCTCCCTTGGTGAGTGCGTGCGCCGCAGTTACTACTGCTGCCGCTTGTACTGCTGGTTGTGGTGTCTGTTGCTGCAGTTTGAATTGGGTGGTACGGATGGGGACAACGGTCATAAATTGCACTTGGACTAAAATGAGGCAAAGAACGTTAATAATAACGTTTTGCTACCGAGAAACATAATCCTTTTTTGTCTCTGTGTCCGCTATTTGTTTCCTTGCATTGCTTTGAGTTATCAATGATCCCCGTATAAGAAATGGGACATCAATTGGGCTATGATGCTGACATGTGTACAATTTGGGTGCGGTTTTCTTTCTCTTTCCTCCTTTTTTTTCTTTACTTTCCCTTTTTGTTTGCTCGCGGGCAATGCGTGCATTCCATTTATTTTTACTGTCTCTTCCGTGTGTGTATGTACTTGTGCTTGTGCGCCTCCTGAGGAAACAACTTCTTGCGCCTGTGACTTCTCTTGTTATTGTGTTGTTTTTTTGCTTGAACGTGCCTTTTGGTGTTTATTTTTGTCTCTTTCTGCCTGTGGAAGAAGTATTAATTTGTGAGGAGGAAAATATGGTGGTACTCGGTGTCGTGACGCGGTCTCCAAGGGCACTATTGTCTTTGGTACGAGAGGCGTATCGATCGCTTTTTTTCTACGACGCCAGGACGGCTAGTGACGTCATATTTGCACTGGGAGACCTTCATGAGCCCCCGTTGAATGTGCACGCCCTTGTGCTTTCTGTGCTAACTACGCTTCCTAATTTTTCGTGTGGATATCATGTGGCTCGTCTCTTTCATGGCTTATCTGAACTTCATGTGCGTCACACGATGCTCACGGCTCATTTGTTGAAATATTATCTCCGTTGTTGCTTTGGAAAGAGTTGCACAGTCACCCCTGTAAAGTGTTTTTCAAGGGATCCGTTGTGGTTTGTCTCTTCATTTGCCATCATTCTCCAAACGCTTCACCGCTTTCACTCCACAGAAACTTTGGAGGCGTTTTTGGATTCGGTAGAGGAGTTGCTGCGAGCGGACCCTGCATGTTTTCCCCCATGTCATCACAGGCATCATGAAAGAAGAGATGGACTGCACGAGGTACATGCGGAATCGGATGTGGAGAAGGTGGGGAATGTTGCGGAGGACACCTTTTTGGTCATGCAACGCTTCGTTCTTATTCATCGACGGAATCTTTACGGATGTCGGTTCATATGTACAGAAAAACTGTTAGCTTCCTTCACAGATCACTTGCACTGCCGTCACTTGACTTCGCTCTTGTGCCTTATGGAAGACGTGGGTGGGGAGAGTCACGGATCAGAATATCCTCGTTTGAAGAAGAAAGAGATGGCTGAACTCCAGCGGCAGTTGTTGTGTCATTTTTTGTATCGGTTTTGTGCTGCGGCACTTCGCCCCGGTGTGCTTTCGAACGCTGAAATTGTGGTGTTACTCAGACATGTGAATCACTATAATATTAGCGGACTTCCGCCTGATGTGCGAAATGGACTTTATTTTCTTGCAGATGCTCTTTGTATAATTCTTGAGAATTCTTCATTGACGTTGGATGCCATTCGTCTACTCGTGGCGAGCGATTTATACCCAGAGGATGAGGAACCGCACGAAAAGAAAGGCAATTCAGCGGATGTCCTGCAGTTGCGGCAAAAACCTCGTCTAGAGCCTTTTCTAGATGGGCTGCAGCACATTGTACTCGGCATGGAGAGTAGACGTTTCTGCAAAAGAGAGGATTGGTTGACTGCAGAAGTTTTACTTATTTTGTGTCATCGCCTGCTTCTCGCTCACGTTGTGCATGCGAAAAAAGAGGCAGGTCCACGACTTCTTCGTACATGTCATCTTGTTTGTGATGCTCTGAAGGGGTTAGAATGTCACTTGGGGACTGAGGATCCTTCTGTTGAATTTCGCATACTTCTTGCCACTGAGCCCGTGAGGGCATTGCTGCTGCAAGGAGCATCTCTGCTAGGCCAAGAACTGGCTTCAACGCTCACAGAGGCGATCACTCGGCACGTACTTCAGAGTGCTTTTCACTTGGCTACGACTCATAATACCGATGATTTGGATATTCAGTCGCTAAGTTTTTTAATGCGGGAGTTTCATCTGACGGTGGAAATTGTTGCAAGAATTGATATTATTCTTCGCCTGATTTGTCATCAGAGACGTTTCACACAACACACAGTCAAACACATTGCGAAGGCGCTTAGCATACTCGGCTCGGAGAAGTGGGTTGTCTTTTGTGGCAACAATAAACGATGGATTATGCTTGCAACATCTGTACGGCTTTCTAACGCGGTAAATTTCCTCATTTCTTCCATGAAGGCCCTTGAACAGAGCGTGGCGCCGCAGCACACATTCGAGATGTTGCTGAATCTTTTGGCCGTGCTATCTCCTGTGAAGTTGCGTGGCAAGGAAGATAGGCGGTGCCGATATCTTGCAGGACAAATCCCCGATTCCAATGCTATTATGCTTCTCATTAATACTGTGCTTCAAGGTTGTATTGATTGCATCCCACCAATTGCTTTGTGTAACGATGATTGGGACGGGCACAAATTTTTTGCACTGAAAGCAACAGACGTTGCTGAGCGCTGTTCCTTGCAGAGTCGTTCTTCCAATGCGTGGAACGCACCTGAATCCTTTTTGGGAAACGTTTGGCGCTCAGAAAATAAATCTAATTGTGAAGGGGATACGCGTTCTCTTCACATGAAGCAACCGAGTGCAGACCTCGTGGTGGGATTTGCCCTTTGGATGGGAGCCTTTCGATTTGGCATAAAGATTAAGGATGCAAATGGGCGGGACCCGTCCCTCTCGAAGATGAGGATGAATGAGCTGCGAAAGATGCATAAAGGGATTCTTCAGAGTGCCATTCATGTTGTTTTACAGGATAAGGCTTTGGGGGGTTACTTTTTGCGTCAGCGGCTCCTTCGCGCCTTTTACCTTTATTTGAAAATCGAAGGTCCTTATTCACGAGGAGAAAGTGAACCGATATTTATTAGTAATGAGGGATTTAAGCATGTCGTTCCTCTGTTAATAGCGGAAGTGTATCGAGTTGTAAAGGATCCTTTTTTTTATGAGGGGTCTACGATGACGTCAGGTGATTTACTTTTTTCAACTGAGACTTGGACAATATTCGGTCACTGTGGTATGGATGCAGTCGAATTAATCACGTTTCTTGAAAATGTCACGGAGGAGTTTCAAATGCACGGAGACCCTAAAATGCCTTTGCTTCTGCTACATGATATTATATGGGGATCGCTCACATGCATCGCCTCATTGAGCGCCGCGCTAGAGGAATGGATTGATGGATTCCGTCATGGGGACTCCTTCCACGTTAAAAACCTCTTCAATGCTGGGATTTGCCACCAGGTGCGAGAAGAAGGGGACGCTGTGATTATTACCAATAGACGAAATACCCTTCTGTGGTCTTTGTTGTTACTTGCCTGTTTTATGCGCAACCGAGGGGCTATGGTTAGGACGGGCCACGCAAAGGAATTGACTGCTGCCCTAGGCGCAGTTGCGCGGCTTGTGCGGCTGGTATCACATCAATTTCCGGTGTTCAGGCGGTCACGTCCTGCACCCGAGTGTCTCTTGGCCCTTAATCTCCGCGAGTTGGTTGAGGAGGAGTCCGCCGCCGGTGTTATCAACGGAGCAAACAACTGCGTTTCGGATGTGCTGGATGATGTGCTCCGCCGAGAGCAGCAGCATTTCTCTTGCTGGGAGTGCAATTTTGAGTCGGTGGCTGCCCGAATGAGGCGATACGTGTGAAGAGCCGCGGCACACAAAATTATATGCATACAAACAGGTATACACATACAAGTATATATATACATATATATATATACGTGTGTCTCACTAAAATCTTTTTTTTTTTTGCTGCTTTCAATCCAAAGTTGAGTTTCTTCAGAGTTATTTTTTTGTTGTTCTTATTGCTTACGCATTGAATTTGTGTTTTGATGGTTTTTTTGGTTGTTTTTCTTCGTTCATTATTTTTTTCTTCTCTTTCAACACTGGAATATCTCTCTTTTTCCCTTTCTGTCGTTGTTCATGTGCCGACCCATGCGTGTCTGTGCGTGCACTTCTCTCACGTTTACTTTTCGTGTGTGCTTTCTTTGCCTGCCTCACTTTGCATCCAGCAGGAATTCCCCCTGTCCACAAGATAAAAATGGAGCCCTCAGCGATGAAGGCCTCGAATGAGCTGTCGATGGCGGAGGAGGCTCGTCTTATGAGCGCACTCTTCCCATACGTATCCAGCAAATGCCTCTGGGAATGTGTAAAGGCAACAAAAAGCGTCGAGGAGACAATTTTTAACGTGAACGCCACGGTGAATCCCGACCTTTACAGCGCGTCCTACTTAATAAACGCAATGCGGAATTTCGCGACTTCCACAGAGGTTACGACGAAGAGAACACCAAGAAACGCTGATTCCGGTGTTATAGCTGTTGATTCGGATGGCAATGAAATTGTTGACCCTTTGGAAGATCCATTTGTATCCGTGGGATCTCTTCTTCACTCAAGATCATCTCTCTTTGATGGTGAGATGAATATCTTGGAGGTCGATCAGCAACAAGAGTACAACGCCACAGTGGCGGTGTTCCCAATCGATACCGCCAAATGGGACGAACATTTCATTACATCCGCCACACTGACGGATGTTGTGGGTGCACAACCCCTCGTCCTGCCGACACCGGCTGAGAAGACACCTTTGCACAAGGATTTCGGAGGCAGTGATGATGCGATTCAGGCACCAATCGTCCGTTGGGCTCCAACCGCCGCTTCCCTGAAAATGAAGCTGGATGAAAGCAAATGTATTTCGTCTTGTGAGGCGCCTTCTCCTTTGGCGTGCATATTAAACTGCGAGGAGGGGAGAGGGGAAACGAATGCACGAGATGAAGGTGGGTTGGGCACGAAGAAGGAAAAAAAGATGGCCGATAGGGCGATGAATACCGTGGGACACGTCGAGCCTGTCTTGCTGACTCCGCTACAATTCTGCACACAGCGTGAGTGCGAGCTGAGGGAAAGACTTGAGGAGTTGGAAAGAAATGGGGCCGCCGCATTTGCCAAAACGGAGGAAACCGACTTCTGCAGGGAGATTGTGGAGCACTGCAAAACCTTTACCAGCGCACTCCCAGAGTATTTCCAAAAGTTTCTTAGCGTGGTTGCAAAAGAATTTGAGGGAAAAGAGATTGTTCCCCCCCTTCACAACATCCGTTTGAAGTCATTTAGCGGAGGGATACTTAATACAGAGGAAGTGAGAATTCGAGGGATTGTTTTAGGGCGATCCTACGCCCGCTTTAGTGAGGATGGTGAGCACATCTTGTTTCGTGTGAAGTTGAAGCATTTGGCGTTGAGTCCGGTCTCGTTTTCACTAGCGAGGGAAGAGAGCCGAGGCGATGCCACGAAAGGAACAGTGAAGGCGAAGGCTAAGAACCTAAAAGTGAAGGCAAAATTGGAATTGAAGTTACATTTGACGGGGCGTCTGATTGCCAGATGCGGCAACATTCATTTCTCTATTGGCTCCTTGCAAACCAAATGTTCTGTGTTTGGACTGAATGCGGTGGCCTTTTTCTTGAGGCCCTTCCTCAAACAAAAACTGACCTCTTTTGTGGTGAAGGCGTTGAGTGATGAAATGTTTCTCGACCTTGCGTAGTTTTTATCTGTTTTTCCATTCTTTTTCTCTCTTTCTCTCTGTTTCCGTTTTTCTCTCACTCTTTCTCTTACCACCATACTTCACTGCATGCAGGGTTGCTGCGCCTGCCTCTGTGGGATGGAGTTGGGTCTGTGGAATTATTATTTTTTATTTTTATTTTCTTTTTTCCCCTTTTTTTTTTTTATTATTTGTATTGCAATGGACAATTTGTGAAATCATTTTTGTGATTTTTTACTGGCGGTTTCTATGAAATTCTTTTTGTTCCTTCTTTTCCTTTGAGTTGTTCGTTTTTGTTGCTGCAAACTGCGGTTATATTTATAGAGAGAGAGAGAGGGAAAAATAATAATAAAACACACAAAAAGGGATAAAACTCCTTATTTGGTTGAAAAGCAAAAAAAAGAAAAAAAGCAAAGGAGGTACACCGATGCCTGGAGCTTGGCTTCTGAATTCACAAGAGGGCAACTTTACATTGCCAAGTCACTGCTCACCAGATGTCTCGGTGCCGATAAATCTGCTGGAGGCGTATGGTGTCTACTCTCGCACGGTGGACCCCGCGACACTGCACGAGCGTCATCCATCCGATGACGAGGGACGGACTCGGGCACAACGTCTCGCGTGGAATTTGGGCTACCAGGGGCAGGAGGAAGTGACACTTACTGCCGACTCCCAAGAAGAATTGCGGGAACACCTTAACTTGGATGAACAAATGCGTATTGTGGAAAGTGGAGTGCTGTACATCGACTTCCGTGACGCAGAGGAACGGTGGATTCGTGTTGAGGCCAAATCAGGTGATCTGGTCGTTCTTCCGCGTGGCCTTTACCATCGTCTTGTCCCTGCTGCTGACTCCTCTCCGGTTAAGCTGTTGCGCCTGTTCCGTAAATCTGCCGTATTTCAACCAATTCCTCGCAATGGTGAACTCAGTGTCGAAGCTGCCGCGGAGGCGCGTGCGGCACATGAAGACCACAAATTTTACGTCTCTCATCCACCGACAGAGACCATTTTGGGTCCTGCAAACACGGAGGACAATGTGTTGGTGAAATCCCCTCGAGACTTTGACGCCACACTGGATAAAGTTAGGGCGCAGCTGACGCCCGGTGATATACTTGTGCTTCTGTTCAAGGGTGCCTCTGACCGCAGGACGCACCAGTCGTGGTGTCCGCCGTGTGCGACTGCGGAACCAATTGTGAGACGCGCAGTGGAGGCGGCCAAACAAAAGCGTCGTGTTGTGTACGTTCAGTGCAATGTTGAGCGTTCGGTATACCTCGGGAACCCCGATTATGCCTACCGAAAGCACCCTCTTCTTAATATCGCCAGTATTCCATTTTTTTTGGTGCTGGAGCAAAGGGAGAAGGAGGTCTTTGAGTTGTGCCGAGAAAGCGATCCAGGTGAAGGCTACAACTCTTGGGTAGAGAAAATTTGAGCGTTGGCACAAGCAAGGAGAGAGAGAGAGGGAAAGAAGCAAAGGGACATGATTCCCGATCAATATTAGTCAGTGAATTATTTCTATAATTTCTTTTTTCGCAGATTTTTTTTTTTTACATTTAGTATTCGGTGAACTGTTTTTTTATGGAGGTGGGGGTCGGACTTGTTCTTTTTTTTTTTTTTTTTCCTTTTATGAATTGAATTTACATCTAGTTATTTTTTTTTTATTTATTTGCAAAAAAAAAAAAAAAAAAAGGCATCTGTGGGCATGAGCCGTGCGATGAACAAAAATTTACACAGTTCTTTGTATTCATCCAATGCGTGTGTATTTGTGTGCATCGACGTAGGGAGGTGGTGGTAAACCTAATGGTCGGTCTTTTTTTTCTTTCTTCTGTGTGTGTGCGCTGGAATGACTGTTGGAGGCCAACTTATTCCTTCTCTGGTTGTTGTTGTGCAATGCCCTCTTTGTTGTCCTTGTTATTTTTTCTTTTTTTATTTGCTCGTTCCCCTGTTTCTAAGTATTAATAGTCCTCGCCAGTGTACTGCCCGGTGTAGAAGAGGGCGCTTTTTGGACCTTTTACATATATTTTTTTTCTCTCTTTATATCGTTGTCACATTTTTGGGATGAGAACATGGGGACACAGGGACTATGGAACTATCTGAATAAACATGGTCTTTGCTCGGCTCCTCCTAGTGTAACGGGTGACACCTCCATTATTACGCCTGACCACCTGCTGCTTGACATGAATGGCATCGTACACGGGGCCATTGAAGGACCTCATTTTTTGTCCATGCAAACCATCCAGGATGTTCTGTTATCCGTGAAGCGTCTTTTGCGCCTGTTTCCACCAAAGAAGACGCTTGTTCTTGTTTTTGACGGCGCAGCGCCAACGGCGAAGCTCAAATTACAAAAAGAACGGCGTGCCACCATGAGGGCACCTCAAAATGCACTGAAACCCCCTTCTTCGGCGACGCAGTTAAAATACAATTACGACTATGAGGGAACGCCGATACGTTTATTTCGGGAAGAGGTTGTCTCGGGTTCGGAGTTTCTTCTGGCGTGTGAAGATGCTTTAAGGAAGGCACTCATGTCGAGTGATGGGGATGATGCTGACCGTCTGCCAGGAACATTTTTGGGTGAATATGCGGTCATTATAAGTGGCTGTGAGGATGCAGGAGAGGGAGAGCTAAAAATATCGTCCATGATCCGAACGCTTTGGATTGAGCAGAAACGAACAGAAACATACACCGGAGATGACGTGATTGTCGTTGTGAGCAATGACTCAGACCTGGCGTTGATTGGTATCGCATGTACACCGTACCGTCAATACTACATGGTAGATCCCGTTGATTACTGTGTCACTGCTATTGCTGAGCTTTTTGAGCACTGGAGAAAGGGTGCAGCAAACGGACTTCTACCGCTTGAGCTTTTACCCTCATACCGCATAGACTTTGTGTTTCTTATGCTGCTTAGTGGTGGTGACTGGTACCAGGGCGTTGCTGGACGCAGTATCCTTCTTTGGCGCCGATACCGCGAGCTTCGACTTAATGGTGGATACTTCAGAAGATCGATAATACATGGCGAAGACTTTAACGTGGATGTTGAGTTTCTCCGCAGTGTTATGAGTGTGAAGGATTCTATACATCAAAAGGTGCGTCAGTCAAAGATCAAGCAGGCCACGATACGAGGGGACTCATCCCTGTCAAAGCAGTCTGTGGAGACTGGAGTTGATCTGTTAAAAGGCGCCATGTGGGCCCTGAAATCGATTGTGCTCGGGCACTGCTTTGACTACGAGTTTCGCGTGTCCACCATATGTCCCACACTGGGGATGCTGAAGGCCGCCAGCTTTGTAAAGGGAGTGGAGAAACGTATTCGGCCTGAATCAAAGGCTCCGCTTCCTCTTTTGTCCCCCTTGGAACAGTGCGTGGCGGTGATGGGGATGCGTGGGCGATATTCTGAGGAGATTTTGCGTGCGCTGACCACCGTGTGCCCAGATGGCGGTAAAAAACTAACGAATTCTCAATCGGTTCCATATCTTCTTTCACAAGTGAGGCTTTTAATGGCCTCTGTAGATCGCGACAAACTCACCGCGGCGGAACGCGAGTTGCTCAAGGTGCAGCATGCGGACGTGCTTGAGAAGGGAGGTGTACTGCAGGACGCTGTCACATTCATGAGCTACGCGTACAGCTCTCCATCGTGTGAATGACGGGGACCACTTTTTTATTTATTATAATTGTGTGCCTGCATTGCCACACAGCAGTCAAAATGGAGCTGAGGAAAAGAGTGCACGTTTATTAAGCGATATTGCGGTTGGAAAAGAATAAAAAAGAGAACAACAACTACAGTAATAAAAAGATGGGAGATGTAAATAACGCATTGAAACTGTCGGTTGATCTCGCTGGTATTTTTGACCTTTTTTTTATTATTTTATTTTGACGTTATCCTTTTTTTGTTTTTTTGTTTGTTTGTCTGCATTAATCGTGTAGACCGCACAAAACCGCAGTCTCTTTATCCGTTCACGGATAAAAGAACCTCAACAAGCAGAGCGAAGGAACAACAAAAACAAAAATAAAAAGACCGAGTGGAAGCAAAAATGTTTCTTGGGCGACGCGTTCTGCTTCCACGGCTTGGCGGCGTGCCAAATGGAGCTATCGCTGCTCGTCCCTTTGCTTCTTCTGCTAACTCCTCTATGGACTTTCTTTTTAATCCAACGCCGGAGCACAAGATGCTGCGGAACACGATCGCAAAGTTTGCGGCTGAACGGATTGAGCCACAGGCGAGGCAAAATGATATTGAGATGCGGTTTAATACGGAACTTATGAGAGAACTTGGGGACCTCGGCGTGTTGGGCGTCACTGTTTCAGATGAAGATGGCGGTGCGGGAATGGACGCCACCGCGTCCGTTATTGTTCACCATGAAATATCCAAGTGTGACCCGGGCTTTTGCTTGGCGTATCTGGCACACTCCGTCCTTTTTGTCAACAACTTCTATAATTCTGCCACACGAGAGCAACGAGAACGATGGCTACCGAAGGTTCTCACGGGTGAGCATATTGGTGCAATGTGTATGTCTGAGCCAGGCGCCGGCACAGACGTATTGGGCATGTCCACCGCTGCCAAGAAGTTGGGTGACGAGAAGTATGTCCTAAATGGCTGTAAAACGTGGATCACCAACGGTACGGTTGCTGATGTTTTACTCGTGTACGCAAAGGTGGATGGCAAAATAACCGCTTTTGTGGTGGAAAAGGGGACGCCTGGGTTTACATGTGGTGCAAAGATTGACAAGTGTGGTATGCGAAGCTCCCAAATGTGTCAATTGTTTTTTGATAATGTGGAGCTGGACAAAACGAACATATTGGGTGAGGAGGGAAAGGGAATGGTAGGGATGATGCGCAACCTCGAGATTGAGCGTCTCACGCTTTCCGCTATGGCGATTGGTATTGCAGACCGCTGTGTGGAGCTTATGACGAGGTACGCTAGTGAACGTCAGGCGTTTGGAAAGCCCATATGGAACTATGGGCAGATTCAGCGTCTCATTGCCGAGAGCTACGCAGAGACGGAGGCAGCCAAAGCCCTCACGTACTCTGTTAGCCGCAGCGTGTCGCCGACATCTAATAATCGTTTAGGCAGTGATGCAGCAAAATTGTTTGCTGCCCCAATTGCGAAGCGTGTGGCAGACAACACGATGCAAGTGATGGGCGGCATGGGGTACTCCCGGGAAATGCCGGTGGAACGGCTGTGGCGGGATGCCAAGTTACTTGAAATTGGTGGCGGAACAATTGAGGCACACCAAAAAAATATAACAAAGGACTTAATGAAGGAGTTGTAGTTTGCGATAAGGGAGGAGGGCAGGATGCAAATGAAGAAGAATTTGGAAAATTGCAAACGTTGAATGCTGTGGGAGCGAGGAAGAGGATACAATCTTGTTTTTTGCTTTGTTTTTCTTTACTTATTTTACATTGGATTCTTTCGGCTTTCACGTGAAGAAGAAGGGGGGTGCAAGAAGAATCGCGACACGAAAATTCACAGAAACATGTATGCAGTGAGATAATTGAGTGCAAATAATGCTTACTTGTGTGTGCGTGTGTGTGTCAGCAACGATGTGCCCACGTCCTCTTTTAGAGTGTGTGTGGTGACGGCGGTGCCACGCGGGTGTGGGACCGTAGCGAGCGGGATGCGTGGGCGAACCCTCCGTGTCCACCAAGTTGTTGTTATCGTTTGCGCTCTCCAACACTGTGCTGGGTGGATGTCACCCAATTGCCGTCGTTGCGGCGGTCTCCGTGCATGTGGTGTGCATCACGCTGTGTGGATGACTCTATTTTTGTGGCTGTCACTCATTTCTCTGCATATTTTATTTCTCTCTTATTTCCCTTTTGATTGTTGGCTAGTGTTCAGCTTTAACTCGATCCAACTAAGAAAACAAGAAGAAACAATGTCTGGAAGGCCAAGCAAAGGAATTCACGGTAATGAGGAGGGCCAAGCGTCTACTGTGCCACAGGGAGATTCTCTTAAGAGAGCGATGTCGGACCTTGAGGGTGACACAGCTCAGCCCGCTGCGACTCCCATAAGAGTGGAGGAAGCGCAACTACAGTGGACCATGTGCAGCACCGTGTGGGACATCCTGCTGGACGGAGAGACCGACATTTCCGATATGAAGCTGAATGCTTTTCTTCGGGAGCATTTTGGCTCCAGGGCGGCCGTTGAAGAAGAACAGAATGTGGATATGTGGGATTTTTTGAGGAGTCCCGATGCCTTCATAAAAGACCAGCAGCTGCTTGAAGAAATTTCTAATTTAAAGGATTATCAGCTTTTAAGAGATAGGCGCAAGCTTGCGGACGGGCATTTGAACTATCTCGAAGACTGGATTGAATTTGAAGAGAAGGATACTGTCACTCCCCTTACAAGGAAAAAACTTAACGATGCCCTCACTCAGATACAGAAAGAAGTAGCAAGGTGGGAGGCAGAAGAAAGGGCGAAGCGGATGGCAGAAGAAGATGTGAGGCAGAATACTGAAGAAAAGACAACTAAACTGGAGGGATTCTACGAGTCTGTGTACGGTGCGAAGTGGGGCCATGTCTTGGGGTTTTATGACGATAAGATTTGTGAGGATCGAATGGAGGTACATGAGGGAAAACCACCGCAGTCATGGACGTACAAGAAGGAAGGTCTAACTTTCGAAAAGGATGACGGTGTGGAGCAATTCAGACCACCACGTCCCAGGCTGATGGTGCTCACCTCGGACAAGGGATGGCCGTACTCGTGGAGGGAGAATAAACCCATTGTTGACTGTTATGTGAACTGTGAGGTGGATCGAGTGTGGCAGATTGTTGAGCGTGATCTAAAAGACAGTTCCTCACCTGGGAAGCGTCTTTTGGTTGGGACGCCCGGGATCGGGAAGTCGATGAATGCCGGTTCGTACCTTCTCTACCAGCTGCTGCACTGCGATGCCGAGAAAATCCAAGTGGTTGTCCACTGTTTTGGAGAGGGTGAGGCCTACGTCTTTGACAAGACCACCAAGACGGTGACAAAATACGTGGGTATTGGAGAATCTGTGAGTGTTGTGTTGAGTTTGTCGCAGCGTGGGATGAAAGGGTATATAATCTACGATGTGCCAACGAATGGGCCACAGCTGCCGGTAAGTTTTGCGCCCTCCACCGGATGGGGCACGATTGGGCTGGCATCCCCAAAGGTAAGGGACATTCAGGAGTTTGCGCGTCAACGAGATCCCCACCGAATCATCATGAATTACCCCGAAGAGATGGATGTGAAGGCGATGTGTGCGTGGATGAAGCGCGACGGGACTCCACAGGAGCAAGAGAAATACTGGTGGATGGTCTGCCATCAAATGCTTTTTCTGGGGCCGATTCCGCGTTACATCTTTGATGCGAATGGCTTCAGTAAACGCTATAATGAACTTGATCGTGTCTTGAAATCGATAAAAAATCGGGATGATGTAAGGTACGTTACACGTGGAGGAACGGCGGTATGGTGTACCGAGAATCCGTTTTACAAACTTATGTGTGTTGACCGAAAAAGAGGAGTATTTGGTATCGAGGATCTTAAGACTGACATATCATCTGGTCACCTCGCGTATCGATTATCTCCCCTTATTGATAAGATAATCCCCGCTGTGGAGTTTTTTGGTCTTCAGTAACGGAGAGTAAGAATGCTCTTTTGCATCTGGAATTCTGGAGAGATATGCTTTGGACGCATTCAGGAATGAGGCCTTTTTCATTAAAATAGCAGAGGAACTTAAGGAGCTGAGGTCGCCAGCGCCCCAAAAACCACTGAACACCGTGCTGAGGGTGACCCCGGAGGACATCTCACCGAGCCATTTTGATTGTTTCCATTGCAACGCGGACCTAAGAAGATTGATGTAAAGGACCAGTGGCTAGAAAAACCTCCGCTGGTTGGGCTGCGGATAACTACGGCGTGTCGACATCACAGGAACGCCAGCACTGTGTGGCAGTTCACTGATTGCCTGACGGTATATTTTGTTGGGTGGGAGGAGTTATCCCGAGACATTTCGTGGGAGTTTATTTACGTGCAGACAGTGTGCTGATGAGTGGCTGGCAGAGATGTGATTTTGTCAATTCCAATGTAGTGAGCGAGGAGGAGAATCAAGGAAGTCTGTGTTTCTGAAAAACAACGTACACCAGTACCAAGTGCCAATGCCATCCGGAGTCTTTAGAAGAGGCGAAGCTCTCCGAAGTGAGGAAAAAACAACAAATAGGAAAACAAGACAAATTGGGGAATGAAAGGGATAGTTTGGTATCTGGTGAAAAAAATATTGGGGTATTTTCATGTAGTTTGATGCTTTTGTTTCCATGCGGTGCAGGTGCACCAGCACCAGGTGGCATTGAGGCACACAGATGCCAAGAATGTCCAACGCTATCGAACACAACAGTGACGGAATAAATTATGGAGGGAGTGGGGTTGTTTTTTTTTTTTTTTTTTGGTGCAAAAACTGGGTGATTTTCGTATAACATGTTGATTGTGTGCGCATACGAGGCATAATTGGAGAGTTGCTCTCTTGTGGCAGAATCATTGTGTCTAGCGGTGCCACAGTATTGCTGCATTTTCCATTTTATTTTTACTTTTGTTTTGTTGTAGGGTCCATGACAAACGGAAACATATTTGAGGGATGGACGAAGTATAGCTCCTTTTGGAGAAATAGTGCACTCCGTGTAACGGCACTGAGTGAGGCGCCGCATTCCATTGAAGGCGGGATGGCTGTGTAAATTTTGGTGCCGCGTGACTGGTGGATGGGTGAGGGTCCATTTCAACGTGTAGCTCTTTGGGTGATAGCTCGCTCCGGGTGCGTTGTGTGTTGGCAGCGGGCTGTGGCCGTATCCCGTTGGCTTTGGGATTGAACTGGAGGCGGTGGCGGTGTGTGCGTTTGTTGTGTGGAGGGCCGAACCCTCCCACCCGCGGACGGACAGCACTGCGGTGTGTCTGTGTTTGTGTGTGTCAGGGTTGTGCGAGCATTTCCTCTTGCCGAGTGTGTGCGGTGACGGCGGTGCCACAGGGGTGCGAGACCGTAGCGAGCGGGATGCGTGGGCGAACCCTCCGTGTCCACCAAGTTGTTGTTATCGTTTGCGCTCTCCAACACTGTGCTGGGTGGATGTCACCCAATTGCCGTCGTTGCGGCGGTCTCCGTGCATGTGGTGTGCATCACGCTGTGTGGATGACTCTATTTTTGTGGCTGTCACTCATTTCTCTGCATATTTTATTTCTCTCTTATTTCCCTTTTGATTGTTGGCTAGTGTTCAGCTTTAACTCGATCCAACTAAGAAAACAAGAAGAAACAATGTCTGGAAGGCCAAGCAAAGGAATTCACGGTAATGAGGAGGGCCAAGCGTCTACTGTGCCACAGGGAGATTCTCTTAAGAGAGCGATGTCGGACCTTGAGGGTGACACAGCTCAGCCCGCTGCGACTCCCATAAGAGTGGAGGAAGCGCAACTACAGTGGACCATGTGCAGCACCGTGTGGGACATCCTGCTGGACGGAGAGACCGACATTTCCGATATGAAGCTGAATGCTTTTCTTCGGGAGCATTTTGGCTCCAGGGCGGCCGTTGAAGACGAACAGAATGTGGATATGTGGGAATTTTTTGAGGAGTCCCGATGCCTTCATA